GTTTAATATAATTGTGTTTATTATAGTGTATGCGTTTGTGCTATTTTCTGAGAGTCTCCAACTATCTGCGAAGTAAGTGGGGATTATCCTGGGTTAGAATTTTACTCCCAAACTGCCCTGGTGACCCTGCCAGGAAGGAGTGAGGGGGGTGGAGGCACCGCCAAATAAATCCATCGGAAAAAATAAAGTTGTGTGGGTGGCGGGATCCAGAAGAACCCAGACCTGTCCATCAAAACTTGTAATCAGATTGTCTTTAAAGAACGTAATCAGGTGGAGAGGGGGAGCTACATAACAATAAACCAAAATTCTCTTAATTTATATTAAAATAATTTCATAGAATCATATAATACTACAACTGAAAGAGACCTCGAGAAATCACCTAGTCCAGTCCCCTGCCCTCATGGCAGGACCAAGCACCATCTAGATCATCCCTGATAGATGTCTATGCAACCTGCTCTTAAATATCTCCAGTGATGGAGATTCCACAACCTCCCTAAGCAATTTATTCCAGTGTTTAAAGACCCGGACAGTTATGAAGTTTTTCCTACCTAAACCTCCCTTGCTGCAAATTAAGCCCATTGTTTCTTGTCCTATCATCAGAGGCCAAGGAGAACAATTTTTCTTTCTCCTCCTTGTAACACCCATTTAGACACTTAGATCATTTGTCTCTAACCTGTGCTTCTATCCAACGTTCCTTAACTAGCATGGGAATTAACAAGCAGGTTCTCCAGGGATATTTTTTCACTGGATAGGATTAGAATCAGGGTGAAATTCACCTGTGTGCAGAGAACCACCAAAGTGACCACTGGAGTCATATCTAAGTTCCGCTGGGCTTAAATGGTTAACTAGCCACGTGCCGAATAAGGGTAAATTTAACCCCAAATGTATAATTTAAATTAATCAGTACCATAGTAAGTACCCAAGTTTTGGGTTAATTGTAACCCCGAAGGATATTACCTAGATTCCTAGGGCTCTGTCTGCTGGCAACTCAGGGAGACACACTCTGAGTTTGTCTTGGCTCTCCCTCGCTACCAGGGTCAGAGTCTGCCAGGCAACCCATAGGGAGTGAGAGGCCCCTCCCAGAGAGTTGAAGAGTGGAAGGAGGAGCCATTGTTGGGGGAGTCTGGAGCCAGCCAGGGCAAGGGGAGGACTCGCTGTGTAGGAGCTAGTAAGCCACAAGCCTGCTTGAAGGGTTCCCCCTGAGAACTAGCCTCTAGGGACCTGCAAATTAAGCCCATTGTTTCTTGTCCTATCATCAGAGGCCAAGGAGAACAATTTTTCTTTCTCCTCCTTGTAACACCCATTTAGACACTTAGATCATTTGTCTCTAACCTGTGCTTCTATCCAACGTTCCTTAACTAGCATGGGAATTAACAAGCAGGTTCTCCAGGGATATTTTTTCACTGGATAGGATTAGAATCAGGGTGAAATTCACCTGTGTGCAGAGAACCACCAAAGTGACCACTGGAGTCATATCTAAGTTCCGCTGGGCTTAAATGGTTAACTAGCCACGTGCCGAATAAGGGTAAATTTAACCCCAAATGTATAATTTAAATTAATCAGTAGT